ATCTTATCTTATCTTATCTTATCTTATCTTATCTTATCTTATCTTATACTTTCTCCCTGAATGTTAGAATAAGCAAACTCCAAACTATAGTAGAATAGCAATTCAATTATAATACAGATTTGCATGCAGTAGGAAAATTGCTTACTATATTGTTCTTGTTAACCCAAGAATCAAATGCAAAGGAAAAAAACGAAGGAGAAAATATGTCTATAATATAATTGAATGGAGAAAATTAAAACTGAAGTGGGCAGACAGAAGACCATTCATTCTGTATAGCTCACTGGTTGAAGAGGATAGAAGATGCAAGAAAACATTTTACACACATTTCACTTTTTCAAACCAAAACATCAGCCTACAGGCTTCTAGTCAAGATATAAAGTATGTGAAAGAAAAGCCTGCGTGGAACAGATAATAGATTTCTCTAATCTAACCCACCATTTTCTTCCTATTGTGACCAAACAATGCCCCTGGGTAGTCCCAAGTCTCTTATTTGTGTTCTTCAATAGCTAGCACTGAGTGAGAGACTGACTCCATAATAGCTGATTACAATACATCAGTAACTTTGTCAAACTCCCCCCTTTCATGCCATCAAAATTAATATGGACATTTGTGGTAGGAATTTCACAGTTTTAATAGAGGCTGTGTCAGCATGTCCTCTTTTATCAGTCTTTTATCTTTCACCACTGAACTTCATTAAATAATCTCAGGTGGTAATACTGGGAGAAAAGGAGAAAATCTCCCAGTCCATTTTATTACATTGTGTGTACAGGTAGTTCTCTACTTACAACAGTTCGTTTTAGTGACCGTTCAAAGTTACAACCACCCCATTCTTCATTCTTACAACTATTGCAGTATCCGCATGGTCATGTGATCAAAATTCAGATGCTTGACAACTGACTCATATTTATGACGGTTGCAATGTCCGAGGGTCATGTGATCACTTTCCCCGATCTTCTGACAAGCAAAGTAAATGGGGAAGCCAGATTCACTGAACAACCATGTCACTCACTTAACAACTGTAGTGATTCACTTAACAACTGTGGCAAGAAAGGTCATAAAATGGGGCAACATTCACTTGACTACTGTCTCACTTATCAATGGAAATTTTGGCACCACTGTGGTCATAAGTCAAGTACTATCTGAAAATTTTATGTGAGTATATGTGCCCATCTTATTTGCTGTGTAAGTCCTCAAACTCAAATATTCCTTTCCTCAAACTGGAAATAGTCCAACTTTTTTATTATTTCTCTTGCCTTTTCTGGGCTTTTCAAGAATTACTGAGTAACACATAGAAAAACCAAACTCATATTTGTTACAGGTCCCCATTATGATGCAATCCAATCACAATCAAAATTAACAAATAAAAACTAGCAATAATTAGATACGTGGAAGAAATAAATTAAACATGCAGCATTATATAACCACAGTCACAGTAAAAATAATTCACAAAACTGTAAAACTCTAACTCTATAAATCTAATAAAATTGTAGTTTTCTTTTTAATGAAAGAATGAACTTGCCACACAGCTAACACAGCAGATCCTTCCAGACCCCAGATATCTTTTGTGCTTTGTATGCAACTATCTATGGAAATACTTTCGTTTCTGTAGAATGTGTCAACAAATTGTGAATGGAATAGTGAGTAGGCATGGTAGTTATGCTTTTGGTTTAATTACTTTTCTTTATATACTGGGCATGGCTAGTCTAGTGAAGAAAAGGACCAGAGGAGACATGATAGCAGTGTTCTGATATTTGAGAGGTTGCTACAGAGGGGTCAAGCTATTTTCCAAGGCACCTGAAGGTCAGATAAGGAATAATGCATGGGAACAGATCAAGGAGAGATTCAACCTAGAAATAAGGAGAAATTTTCTGACAGTGAGAACAATCAACCAATGGAACAGCTTGCCTTCGGAAGTGTGGGAGCTTCATCACTGGAGGCTTTCAAGAGGAGGTTGGACTGCTATTTGTTGAGGATGATGTAGGATCTCCTGCTTGCGGGGGGTGGGGC